ACGTCTTGCATACAGAGGGTACTGTGAGGTGAACTATTTCCTATCTCCAGGAGTTACTGCTCTGAAAGGCAGTGCCCCCTTGACTCCACAAGCTGCCCAGAGTGTCATAAAATGCAGAAAGTAAGAGGCCTGGCTGAGAGTTACCTCCTCCAACTCTTGGCAACCACCACTGCTTTCTCTCCGTATGGAGCTGTTATCTATCTGGAATCGTCCACATATATGAAGGCACACAGTCAGTCATGTGGGCTCCTGTGTCTGGCTCCTTTCACTGGAGCCTGTGTTGGTTCCTCATCCCTTTCCGTGGCAGAGCAGCACCCCATTGCATGGCTATGCCTTGTTTTGTTCACTTGTTCCTCTGTGAGCCTGTGGATACTTTCTGTGGCTGAGAGCTTATAAATGGGGCTGCCATGAATGAATATACAGGTTTTTGTTTAGGACTATTTTCAATGCTTTTGGGTAGGTATGCACCCGGGGGTAGTTTTGGGGTCACATGGTCATTCTGTATTGAAGCTACTGAGGACCAGCCAAGCTGTCAGTCACAGAGGCGCCATACTGCTTCCCTGACCAGCACTGCATGGAAGGGTCAGGCTTTCTAGCTGGATGTTTTACTTGTGTCTCTACTATAGCTGCCTGAATAAATTGGAGCAGGAATGTAAAATGGCCCGGTTGTTTTGGAAAGTAGTTTGACAGTTTCTTCTAAGGCTAGGCAGGCACTCCATTCCACCCCTATAGAAGAGAAACATGATACATGTCTGAGAGAACAGAGATAAAAATCATATCTACTCAGAGACTAAAGTCATCTCCAGCCAATGAGTGTGCCCATCAGTGGAGCACTCAGGAGAGACATATAGGTCTCAGATGTTCACACGAGGCGAGTGTGGTGGCTTGAATGAAAACGGCCCCGTAGGCTCATATATTTGCACACTGGTGAGATGGATCATTGGGAGAAGGCACTGGGGAAGTTCACTCCCAGACACACGTGGAGGAAGGAAAGAACTGACTTCCACATGCCCACTGTGGCATAGATGCACACACACAAAATGATAAATGCGTGAGCATGTAAAAAAATCCAATATGTATGATCTAAGGAAGCTAAATGTCACCACAGCTGTGGGAACACACACACACACACACACACACACACACACACACACACACACACACACACGAGTGTACATCAACACCATACACAGAAGCAGGAAATGCACATATATGAATTATGTAAACACACATAAACATACATGCACACATGCACACACAAACACACAATCACATGTGTCTGCAAATACACACACATATGCACTTTAAACAAGGACATCAGTTGTGTCTCTTTCTGTCACCCTGGAGCGGCCTGCAGCACATGCTCTGGTGACCTCCGTAAAAGGGATTCGCCACACGCCTAGAACTGTTCCCCTACAGATGTCTTTGGTGTGTTTTTATGTTTGAGATGCAATCAGAGTTTTAACACACAAATTTAATTCCAAGTTCATGGCTTTAAACATGTCAGATAAGTAATGAGGGCTGCTTGAGCCATGTTTTCAACCCATGAATCTCAAGTTTTCTGAAGGCTGCTTTGAAACATGTATAATGTTTTAATTTAAGGTCTGCTAAAGCTCAAAATTGTCATGGGGAAGAGAGGCCATAATTTGTAATTATAAAATATAGGGGATGATAAATTCAAATGACCTTTTCAGGAACGTTTATAGCTAGGCCACCTTGGAGCAGGACTTTATGAGGTTCGGGCATGTGTGGCCACCAAAGCCCCCTGCACATATTCAGACAGTAGACAGGGTCACACTCTGTGTTTCCTCGATGCCTTCTGGGGTCCCCAACATAGGTTCCCATTTTAGAAAGAAGAGGAAGCCTTCACTCTGGCTGAGTGAAACTGGTTATCCACACTAGACTATTCATTTGCAAGGGGATACTGAGTCCCCTGGCATTGAATGGACCAATCCAAGGTCATCCAGGCAACGGCAGAGGCAGAACCAAGTCTCTTGTGATCCCACTGTTGGTTCTTTCTCTGCCCTTCTATGTAGCCAGTGCTGTAGCTGGTTCTTGTTAACTTGTTTTCTTTCATGGTGAAACAGCATGTGAGCTGCATGCCTTCCTGTCCCAACTAGTTTAAACAAAACCACAAAGACACTGTTGCTGTCCTGCATGGGATCAGTGTGACCTCACTCTAATCCAAGCTTCGGGCATCCTTGTCATACCAGGAGCAGCCAATTCCTGAGCTTCCTTTTCTGAAACCTCACCCTCCATACCTCATGCAAATACACACATGTGCATATGCTCACAAACACACACTCCCCTCCAACACATATGTGTGTGATCACACATACGTACATGCATAAACACGTGGGCATAAGCTGTATTCCTTTTCCCCACATGTGCACACAGGCACATACATGTGTGCACATGCTCACCTCTGCCCGCCTTGCACACGTGAATGTGCACACATGCAGCCATTCCTTGGATGTCTTCTGCAATAGCTTTCTGGATGCAGCTGCCCTCAAAACGAAATCAAGTATGGCCATCACTTCCTTGGAATGGCTCTCTGCTTCCCTCTGCCACCAGCAGGAAATCTAAACTTATATGTGGCTCTGTGAGAGCCTCAGGAGCCTTGCCCACCTCTTTCTATGGTTCCCAGACCCACACACTTTGTTCATCAGCCCAGTGTCTCTTCTTGAGGACCTCCTCACCTTCAGGACACCAACCTGACTTCCTGTCTGTGTTTTACAGGAGCAAACACAGCTCTTAACCCTGAAGTCAAGCCAGCCAGATCTTGCCTTGGAGGTTCAGACCTCTCCTGTCAGCTGTAAGATCTCCACACAGAGGGAGGCAGAGCTAAGATGCAGAGAAGGAGAAGCATTGAGTCTTCTGGACCTAGGCAAGCCTGAGCACACCCAATGACTCACTACATTCTTCCTCTGCTAAGCAGATTCAGGTTGCCCTTCAATTATCTGCAACTAAGGATGCCAAGCCCTGAGCTCCTGCCACAGGTACTCTTCTAGTGCAGGGGTATAGGCACCCCTTCGCTATTGGCATGACCCCAGATGTGGCTGATCTTATCCATTGTGGTAAAAAGTGCAAGGAGCCCTTTGGGATCTGAGCAGAGCCAAAAGCACCACGTGACACCATTATACCCACTTGTATTCACCACGAATTTCCTGGAACTGGCCTAAAGAATGCAGTGCTGGAAAAGCTGGTCTATCTATTAATGACCAGGGGGTGGGCTGCTTCTCTCTACTAATGTCCATACCTGTTCTCCCACTACAGCTCCGAAGCACAGTGCTAGTGTGATCCCACCATGCTGGGGTGAGCAATTTTCTCAGCAACTCACTCCTCCATGACTTTTTAAGCACACTTGGTAAGAAAGTCTGGCTACATGCTTGCCCCTGCCCTTTTATTCACCATTGCCTGAGCTGTGAGCCGCCAGTGGCGACCACTGGGACTCATGTTTGACTGACATTGCGATTCATGGATTTGATTGTAACTCATATTTCTATCCATGGCCATTATGCTAAGATCTTTCATCCTGCCCTGCTGTGGCTCATAGAATCACATTTAGGCTCTTTTCCTTTTAACATTACTAAGTAGGTTGGCACAGAGTCCCGTCCTTACCTTCCCCTTTCAAAAAGATGCTCCAATCTTGTGTGGCAGAGTTTGGCCTCAGACCTTGACCAATGAATGGCTCATCCCGGCAGATAGCAGAAAGGTCAACAACCTCAGCTCTTTCCATGGGTCAGGACCAGGATGCCCATTGCTAAGAAAATACAGGATGAGCCCCAATTCCACTGAAATCAGCATCATCACTTATCTCCTCTCATCCAATATCCACATCTATTTTCTTCATCTCAGGAAACCTTGACTCTCAAAGATGTGAAATAATTACTATTAAGGCTGGCATCACAACTGTTGATTTTATCACTAGAAACACCAATACTGTTCTCATCGCCATGATGGAATGCCTAGCAAGAAACAACTTAAGGGAGGAAGAGCTTGTGTTGGCTCATGGCATAGCACAGCAAGGCAGCTGGGGGTGGCTGATTGCAGTCAGGAAGCAGAGAGATAAATGCTGGTGCTTGGCTCGGGCTCACTCCCTCCTTTTCAGAAGTCTCAGACCCTGGCCCACGCAATGGTGCCACCTACGTTCCAGGTAGTCTCTCTCATCAATTCAACCTCTCTGGAAATCCCTTTGCAGATGTTGCCAGAGGCTAGTGTTTTAGCTGATTCTAAATTCCACAAGCCAGAGCAGCATCAAATCAAGAAAAAAACGAGAGAAGGATGGAAGGGAGGGTGGGGATACTTGTAGCCTTGACACTGGACTAAAGCCCTGGTAACATTGCAAACAGTGATACCATAAGGTCATAGCACACATCCACCTGAAGGAGTTCCTACCTATAGTGTGTACCTTGGACATGAGTTCTAGTCCTCCCAAGTATATCTTCATCTTCTGCTGCCACTGTGATGGCAACAGGAATAACACTACAGCTAACTTTCTGGAAGACATCAGGTCTGTCCCTAGGAGTCAGTCATTCACTATGGGACTTCCTTAAATCAGGGATTGTAGGGTGAGATGTAAATGCCTACAGCTCCTCATCCTGCCAGATGCTCACACAGGGGATGTTCTGAATGACATCCAGCAAGGAAGGGCACAAACAGTGGCACAGGTCGTTGTTAACAAGCCAACAGAATATGATGCCCAAACAGTTCTAACGTCCAGCAAAGGAATGCTAAAGGCTCCTGTGGTTTATAGAGACAGGCCACCAGCTTGACGCAATTCTCAAAAGCCCACCTCTGGAATTAGGGCTCCCATAGAACGAGTGTCATGTTCTAAGACAGTTATTCAGAAGAAAGATACCCGAGTTTCCCTGCTGTGCAAGTCACTGGCAAGTTGCTGCGAAGAACAATGTAAGAACCAGGAAGCCTCTTCAACCTCTTGATAAATGTCACAAGGTCTGTTACACAGATACTGGCTTCTGTCATCTGCTTAAGCTTTGCCTCACTCACTCAATTCAGGAGGAGGTGACAACCCAGGAGCTCACCAGCCACACACACACAGGAGCCATGCTAAATGTCTGAGCTCAACTCTCACAGTTTTACTCTGACAAGTCTGCGGAAGCTCACAGGTGTGCTTACTGTACCTGCCATTGGACAAAAGGTAGCAGCCTAGCATTTGAACATCCATTTATGGCTCTCTCTATAGCTTCTGAGGGATTGTAAAAAAGTTCCTGAGTATCAAGCACACATTTTATTATCCCAATAAAGCTTAGGAACTGTCTGGCTGTGTCCTAGCATTGAAGACCATCCCCAGGTGACAGTACAGCACAGTGTCACTAACACCCAGTCAGCAGCCATCAAGTTCACTGTGAAAACAGAGCGCCTTGTCCTACTTATTGACTGAAGGAGAGAAGGCTGTAGGAGAAGCTTTCAGAACTTCAGGTCATATTTTTACTTAATAAAGTCCCCACGAAACAAAGCACATGCTTTTACACACATGAAAAGACGCGTTGACATGATTTTCCACATTTGATAATGAATAAATATACCAAGAAGTGCATGTGTGCCCATGAACCTTATTGCATGATATTTCACACATGTCTGAGTGAATCTGGGTGGTCTGGTTGATATCCACACACAAACATGTTTTGTTCCTGTGTTATTAATACTTTGGTTTTATTAGCCTTATTAATGGCTTGGTTTTTAAAAGGAAAAAATTTAGGTAATATCAATAACCAGAATATTATTTCCCAAGCTGGATCCTTTTTCATTAGTGTTTCATTTCAACCAACCTGAAAGAAAGGGAAGGCTGAGTGTCTGTCACCTTGCCACCATCATCTGGTTCACAACACTGGAGAGACTCTGGAATTGTCTCTGCCTTGCCACCATCATCTGGTTCACAACACTGGAGAGACTCTGGAATTGTCACTGCCTTCTCTCTCTTTCTTTCTTTCTTTCTTTGTTCTTTCATTCTTTCTTTTGTGTGTTTTTATGTTTCAACTGAGGCAATGCCTGAGAGAGAAAGGTATTCCAAATTCCACCAGCAAGGGCTTTTCTCAGAGTCCATACGATTTTGATTTGTTAAAAGTGTTTAATATAGAAAAACCCCACATAGAAGAAGAGAGACGACCTAAGTGAGCTGCTGGCTGGGAATTCACAAAAGGCCGACCCCTGTGGCCTCAGAGGAAAACATCAATGCCTATCTCCTAGGTCAGTGGTTCTCAACTTGTGGGTCTCGACCCCCTTGGGGGGGTTGCATATCAGATATTTACATTGTAATTCATGACAGCAGCAAAATTTCAGTTATGAAGTAGCAGCAAAATAATTTTATGGTGGGGGGGTCACCACAGCACGAGGGACGGCATTAAAGGGTCGCAGCATCAGGAAGGTTGGGAACCACTGTCCTAGGTAAAAGCTCCATGTTCCATGCAATGTCCCCACCCCCATCCTTAGGCTGAGCTGAGGCCTGTGCTGCTTGAGACCTACAGGGCTTCGTGGCTGGGCTGTTTTCTTTTCCATCTCAACTATGACCTCTGCCTCGTGGAGGAAGGGAGGAGGGTAGAGGAGAAGACAGAGTGAGAAAGAGAAACACACAGCCACAAAAAGGAGGGAGGGGGCTGGGCTGGGCACTGGAAGGCTTCTGTTTGAAAAACACCCTTTGCTTTTGGAGAGGGGACAGTATCATTTGATTTATTTAAGCCAGACTTTAAAGGGGGCTCCAGGCTCGGGGAGTGGGAGGTGCCGGGGAGGGTTCCTTACCCTGAGTGATACAGGGTGGCAAAGCTGACCCTGTATGCCTGTACCAAAAGCCTTCCACTCAGAAGTCTCTGGAAAAGCCGACCCAGGCAGGCAGGAACCTGGGGTCTATGTGCTGACTTTTGCTCCTTAAATTAGCTTTGATTTTTTTTTTTAAAGAAGAAAGCAAGCTACTTTGGGGTACTGGATAAAAAGTGGCCTTCCCGGAAGGGAGGAGGGAAGGCGGTCAGTCAGCCTGGGGCAGGCTGGGCACAGTGACTGAAGTAGCTTTAACTAGCCAGGGGGAAGTTAAGGAGCTACTTGTGGAACTCTGACAGTCCTCTGCAAGTGGGCCTGCTCTCCACAGAACATTGTTCCGGTGGTGGCGGGTGTTGGATGTCCCCAAAAGCAGAGAACCCAGGTCTTTGGTGAGGGGGCAAGAAGTGCCATACATAGCCCTTGCAGCTTCCTGAGACAGTGGTCTCAGCCCGCGGGCCCCACCTCGTGGCCTGCCCAATTGCCCCCTGGAGCCGCTGATGCTGAGGACTCTCTGGCCCCAGGTTCAATTTCAATCAGACCTAGCCAGCCATTGATCACAGGGCTCATCTGACAGCCATGCTCAAGCCAGGCCTAGTTGAGCCCTGGTCACCTGGGAATAGGTTCAAAGGCAAGGAAGCTGTAAACCACCTCCAGGCCCCAGCTCGAGCGGCCTGGCGAACAAAGAGACCCCAAGCACTTCAAACGCGCTGGCGCTCAGCGTCCAGATGGCAAAGGGCCGGGGGTCCTGAGATGTCTGTTCACCAAGGCCTGGCCTAATGTTCTGCATCCTTGAGCCCTCCTGCCTAAGCTCCCCATCAGTGCCCAGGGCAGGGGACTTCGGGCAGGGTCAGACTCTCCCTATTCTCATGTTCTGGATCCACCACCCGCCTGCAAATGAAACAGAGTGCAGAGGCTGAGGCTGAGCCCCAAACCGGGACCCAGCACTCAGGACAGGACCCGGCAGGCGGGCGTGGCGGGCACCCGGCGCTCCCGCAGAGGCTCGCTGTGGTACCTAAGCTATAAAGCATTTCGGGGGAAGGTTCTGAAAAGGTGTCTAGACCTAAGTTCCCCAGAAAATCGGAATTAAAAAGGGGTCCCCAATCCGCATTCTGGCCCGAGCGGAGCGGCGGCTGTATGGATCCTAGAGGCGAGATCGTGGGGGTGGACATCTCTGGCGGCACGCGAGTATCTGCCCTGCCCGGGGTCGCGGCTCTCTGCCTGCACAGCGTCACTCACTGCGGGCAGGATCGCGTTGCTGACGGCGAGGTCTCAGTGCGCGTCCTTGGTCCACCGAGCACATCTGGGCTTGACTCGCCTCCTCCACCCCTCGTGGAGACCCTGAACCTTGGCAGGACCAAATCTGCTCCACGAGGCTCAGACAAAGCCATGCCCGGTTGAGCCTAGGGTCAGCACTGTTGATTAACCGCTTGTGCCTTAGGTAGGAGCGCAGACTGCACGCGTGGACCCGGCCTCAGAGATGCCGGCCACAGTCAGGGCCGAAAAAGAGGAGACAAAACTGAAAGTGCCGCCCTCCCCCCCCGAGGGGGGGGGGACGGCGAAGGCCCCAGAACTTGTCCTGCCCCTGGCCACCGTGGCCAATCAGCGCGCCGCCCTTACTCCTGACAGCTATTTAGCAACCCAGCCGGGATAGAGTTTCCAAAAAAGTTAGAATAACTTCCTCTCCCGGAGACCTCGGTTTTGCACAAGCCGGCCTCGAAATCAGAGACTTTGCAAGCGACCCAGGAGTCTGTGCTCCGCGGCCGCGGGCTTGGCCAGCGGCGTGCGCTCGGCGCCCCCCAGCCCCACGCGCGCCGGGCGGGGGCCAGGGAGGAGGGCTCCAGCTCGCCGGTGTCCCCCGTGGACAGTCTGGGCACCAGCGAGGAAGAGCTGGAGCGGCAGCCCAAGCGCTTCGGCCGGAAGCGGCGCTACAGCAAGAAGTCGAGCGAAGATGGCAGCCCGACCCCGGGCAAGCGCGGCAAGAAGGGCAGTCCGAGCGCGCAGTCCTTCGAGGAGCTGCAGAGCCAGCGCATCCTGGCCAACGTGCGCGAGCGCCAGCGCACCCAGTCGCTCAACGAGGCCTTCGCCGCGCTGCGCAAGATCATCCCCACGCTCCCCTCTGACAAGCTCAGCAAGATCCA